CCTTTCCTATCACATTTTCTCTCTTCAATAAAGAATCTCCAAAGCTGGGGTTGCTCCCCCATTATGACTTCTCACGTTTTCTCTCTCCACCCAGTTTTTCTCTCTCTTATCTATCAAAAACAAATGTAAGATGTGACCACCCACATGGGTTTTCAAAGAATGGATCCTTGCACTGAAATTCTCAAGCTCCAGACTCTGAACACTACAATAAACTTTGCCCTTCTCTCTCTAAATCAATGTAATTCAGAGGAATTTAATAGTGAGGCTTACGGGACAGCAAAGAAGGGGATCATTATAATGAGTTTAATCTAAACATGGCTGATCTTTGGTCGGAAAACATGGTCTAGGTTAGCAATCGAACAAACGATGAGCCTGCTACATTCAAAGAGGGCCTACTGATTTTGGGGATAACAAGTTGCTGTTTGGTATTTGGAACACCGGACAACTAGGAAAGAATAGCCCCCTGTCCGGTGTTTCATGATTGGACAGGGGGCAACTTAGGGAAAAAAAAAGCCACGAGAAAGGGAGATGGCGCTCGTAATATTGGGCATATTGGACACCAAATAGTAATAGATCCCCCTCCAATATGGTCTGTACGTAATTTTATCTTCTTTTATTTTTTGACTGATTTGATGAAAAAAAAGCCACTGATGTGGCTGTTTTTGCTGGTACCCATCAAACCCTTTCCCCCCTTTTTTGAGGGGCAAAATTTACCCAAATACCCCTTTTCAAGGGGTTATTTTTTGTCTCGTATATGGGGCGCCTATGCGATGCTATGCAGCGATGCGGCTATGCGGTCGCATATGCGGTGGGATGCGACACATATGTGGTCGCATCCTACCAAAGTGCATATGCATTGTTTTGCAGTGCGGTTGCTGGCACATCCCGCATGCTGCAGCCACATTTTAAAACAATGGCCCGTAGTGAAGTCGATCTGAAAACATTGCCTCTTAGAAATGTTGTCGCATCCACTTGCTCCTGTTATGACAAACCAAGCCAAACTCTTGCCCTTCCCCCGACTCTAACATCATATCTAGCCCACTTCCCACAATTGCACACCAAGAAAGACACGGAGCAATCCGCAACCTGAAAACCCAACTTTTTCTTCATATTTGACATTTAGAATACGAGATCATCCTTAACGTGCTAGTTCGCAATAGTTTATGTCCAAACTTGTCCTCCACTCTGCCAACTCCTTACCATGCATCATAGCTTTTGGAAAAATCCAGAAATTCATCATTTCAAGACTGCCCATGACATTAGGCCCCAAAGTTAATGCGTACGGGAACGGGAACGGTTCCCGAATCGAGGGCGGGATCGGCGGATCAAAGCTATACTGAAGACCCCTGTGTTAGGGATTGATGCCCATACAACCTCAAAGGTCGGGATCGAAGTCCATGTGGTTTGAGGATCGAGGTCCTTTATTACATAGGATCGAGAATTATTATATAAAGGTGCAAGATCCTATACGTAAGAAGCGAAGTTCCCAAGGGCATTTTTTTGAGTTTCTTAACTCAGGGAGTGCATTACTTCAAGTGATCCAAAATATTATGGAGCGAGGAATAACTTTTATAGGAGCGAGCTCCGTTTACTTAGAACACGAGTTCCTCGCGTAGGTAATGAGGATCCGTGGCTTTAAAATGTAGCTCCCCACGTTGTTAACTAATAACATGTAGGCTTAGTCCTGCTATGAAATAAATAGGGAACTTTAAAGTGATCCCATATTGGTGGGATTTGGATGCCATATATGGCGATGCTTGTGTTCCATTATTTTGGAATCTAGATCCCAATGCATTCTGGAGTGCGAACCATAAGACTAGGGAACATCTCATAATGTTCAGGAACGTGAAATTAAATTGTAAGGAACTCGTTCCTTATAAGATGGAGCGAGATTCCGAAAACACTAAATTGAGTTTTAGACATCCGCTCTGGGATCAAGAGAATCAAGGTTCTGCAAGGGATCACCAAGCAAGGGAGGAGATCCCGATAACTATGTTAGGCCCATGCCCATCAGCCTACTTAAGCATACATCAGTCAACAGATACAACCTTAGCACGCTGAGAGAGTCCTTTCTATCCTGGCAATAGTAGTAGAGAATGCCTTATGAATCTTGAGAACGATAAAGGAACTGCATTATAGTTACCCGAATGGTGTACCGAGGTCATGATTGCGGTTGGAATCACGATTTAGTATTACCCAAGATGAATAAGGATTCTAGGAAGATAGGATTCACGATTCCGAAGTTCTCAAATCTCATTCCAAATAATTTTTTGACTATCGATTCCTAGAAGTTGGGAATCTAGATCCCATCTCACAAAGTATGTGATTTATAGGTGCACAAGACCTGGATTCAACTATATATGACACTTTGATGTTTTCTGGAAGCTATATCCACATCGTCAAAACCTAGGGTTCATAGAAGCACCGAGCAATGCTTCGATCAACATGGACTTGAAGTTCCAATAACATGAAATAAAAATTCAAACACAAATTTCTAGATTTATTGATTCATTAGCAAAGTATGATAGTAATGTATTTTGCAGGTAAGTGTGAAACAGAATCTTCAACTTTCAACTTGACTCTTGCGGGTGTCAATGATAAGTACTTAACCAGCTGATCACCCTTCTCACACAATTAGAAATCGTTTCTCACCTCTAATAGACCCTGATGTTGATAGGATTTTTTAATAAAGCGTCGAAGACATTGTTACCTCAGCCTTGCTTTATTAGCTGCAGAGAGCTAACTTTAAACAATGCTCAATACGCTGAGACCATTGTTAGGGGAGGGCTGTCAAAAACATTGATTTGAATAATATGGGAGCCCTCGATAATCATATTCACTATATGGAGTCCAAAATTCAAGCTTATAAATAATATAAAACTTTAAATCTTTTCTCGCTTAAAACTTCTAGCATGGTCCCGAGTGGATTGGTGTGTGACTCTTGAAAGGTAGGAATATCGACTCCAAATTGATGGGACAACAATTCCAACAATATTTTATCAGATCGCGATTCTGGATGGCATTGATTGGAGTGGATTGATGTGCAATTCCAAAAAGGCAGGAAAATCGATTCTAAAGTAGTGGGATATTGATTCCAACAAGATAGGGACACAATTCCAATTTTATTGGATCGAAATTCCACTATTGTGGGACTTATGTAACAAGTGAGTTGAATTGTAAGAAAGACGATTGTAACTATAGGAATCATCTGACACCCGCGATTCCACGATTCCGATTCCTGAAATGATCCGGAATCTCAAGCATTTCCAACAACTACAAAATCAATGATAGCCACAAAGGTTTTGGCATGGTGTAGATCTCCCGCTCTACTAACAAGCTTCCCTTTCAACAAAAGTATGTCATTAAGTTTTCTGTGGAACACAAGCGGCCAAACCAAGTACGATCAAGGAAGAGGTATCATCATAATCCAATCTGACTGGCTAGATATACCAAAAGGTCCACATTGACCTTATATGCTTATTTTAATACTGGTATTAGCTCATAATTACGACACACACTACTAATAGATTTGTAAACATTGGCACAGCTAGTGATCAACTCTTCCCTCTTTTAACCTATCTAATGTAAACAAGTCCAGCTGTTGTATAAGTGATTCTTGGATGCTACCCAAAAGGAATGTTCTAGACCCCTATAGGTTGCAGACCTTGCCAGGGTTTATCAACAATGCTCTATGAGTCATACTTAGAAAGCCTCTTTTTTTAGCAATTTTGTTTACAGCATAAAGGAGTACAAGAGAGAAAAGAAAACAAAAAGATGTCAAGATGGCATTTCAAGAGATTGAGTGATGCACCCTCTTCAAAAATGACAAAGAGCCACTGTACTCTTTTCCAACGCATGCACCTCCAGATTGGCATCCCTAAGAAATTGATAAACTAGCACCACACTAGTCATAGATCTCCTGAAACATGTCCTGCAACAAAATTGGGCTTGAAGCTCCAACTGCCATATAGATTTATGGAGCAGTGGAAGGCGTCCTTTTAACAGAGAAACGTGAGCGGCATGCTAGCATGGAAAGGCATTCCTAAATATCATACGATGTCCCCAAATCTTTAGTGACTAAGAGAATCTTTTCAAGAGATTAACCAATAGTTACATAGAAAGAAAATTATAGTATACTGGAGTGAATATGATGGTAACTAGACAGTCTAGACTAGCAAATGTGGGTGCAACAACAAGCATTATGGGTTCTTGGGGATTTTCTGCCCATGTAGTTTTTGGACTCTCAGCACTTGAATCTTTTATAGAATTTATTTATGTCAACCTTTATTATTTGTCAAAGAAAATAAACGAGTTCTCAACCACTGCAACTCTAAGAATAAACAGAAAAGCTTCTAAAGAGCCCATCAGGAACACTGCTTATATAAAATCCAGTGATCAGTAAAATCATACATGCCCAACATGAGCCTTCTAAACCCTTGCATTCAATGAAAACACAACTGAAATGTGCTCTTTGCAGTAGCTCAAATGATTCTTAGATAGTAGAGAGTAGAGAAAAAGAATTTCCTCAAGGTTGAAATTAACCACTTAAATTGCAATACTCTAGAGAAGCTTTGACCATAAAAATGATGGAAACAATTAGGTGTCCGCCGATCAAAATAAAAAAACTCAGGGTCTAGACAATTAAATAGGAAGTGCACAATACAAATTTAGATGGAACCCATTCACAATATGAATGAAAATATCTGCCACATTGTGTACTGAAGAATATTTCAAATACACTCCAAATTCCGAAACCAAATGAACCAATGAAGGGGAGTTAACCAAAAATGGAATATGGAATACCCAACATGCATAAGTATAGCATTAGTGGTCTGAGTTGCAAAATATGTTTGTTCAAATGGGAGTTAAAGCCCAACTATAAGAATTCCATCTTTATGAGGAGGAGGCAAGAGAGAGAGTAAACATGTAGAATCTGGGAGAAATCTCAAAGCAGGGACACATGATTGATATGAAAGACGAGGCTCAGAGAGCAAGCGTACATGTAATCAGCATCTGAATCGATATCGGAGCCGTGAAGACCCACCAAAACCAGCAGACCAGGTCCGATCTGCGAAACCATGCAACCTTCCACCTGAAATCAGTTTTCTCATGAGCTTCTCTAACAAACACTCGCTCTCCCTCTCACTTACATACAACAGGCTTCATCACTCTCTCACACACATTGGCTACTCTTTTTCTTTCAACAGTGTAGTGTACCTCGACGCTGGCAGAGGCAACCCTTTGAACCAACGCCCTCATTGCTAAGGGCGCTGAAGCAGAAGACGCCGACCTGAGCACATTTACTCGCGAGAGCACCGCATACACACGAGAAAATAGGGTTCTTCACGAATGGAGTTGCCAAAGGTCCACGTTTTCTTTCCTAGTGCTGCATCCAAAAAAAAAAACCTAAACATATAGAGCCGAGGCTCAAAACAATCAAATTAGAGCCCACATCAAAAAATTTTCATGTCCACATATCCTCGAATTGATCATCTCGACATCAAGATGTCTATGAGGAACAAAAAAAATTTTAAGTTTTGAAAATAGTGCATATTGTAACGCATTTTTTGGACCTTCAAATTTCAAGATTTTCAATTTTTATAGATTTGTTCGATCTACATTATTTTTGAAGCTTTAACTTTTATAATTAAAAATGAAAACATAGCTATGACGGAGATTTCCAATATTGAAACAATATTTTTCAACATTATTTGAATATACGGTTTTCTCTTATTGTTTATAGCCTAGGCTCTGTACAGACCGCACCCCTTGAAGAAAACAAATATCTTAGATGTTTTTATTTTATTAACCCTTTGTATATCTTGCCTTTCAAAAATATTATCACTTTAACCTCCGATTGCCATGTGGCTCCCTAAAAGAGGCAAAAAGTTTATATAAGGTTGCAACCTTCAAATGTAGAATTACAAATGCATCTAAAAAATCCATCGAAAAAAGTTGTTTTAATATTGAAAAACCTTCTAATTGATCATCTCGATATTGAGATATAAAAATATGAAAAAAAAAAAAAAAAAAAAGTTTTGAGTGTAAGAAATAGTACATCTTGCAACACATTATCTAGACTGTCCAATTTCAAGATTTTCATATGTTTATAGATTTGCTTGATTTTAACTAGTTTTGGAGTTTAAAATTTTATAATTAAATATTAAAATAGATTTTGATATAATCCTAACAAAAATTTATATCAAAATTACATATTATGATAAAATTTAGAGGTGCACCTTAATTGAATTGTTCAAGGTCTTATAGAAACTACACACTTAGTTAAAAGGACAAAAGCCTAAAATTATTTATAAAAACAGGATTTTATGGTAACATAAATTTGATGGATTTTACCAGGAACTCAAGGGACTTTTTCTCTTCCTATTTTCTCTCTATCTTATGTGTTAGATTAGAAAGATAAGGAAAAGTCTTTCCAACGTCAATAGGAAAAAATGAACAGTGATTTCACCTATGTTCATCACCATCCAAAGTTCATCGTACGATTACGATTGTCCTGTAGTGTTTTAATTTTTATTTTTTTTTCTTCTATAAATCAGAATGATCTAAAATTTGGAACGTGTGTACATATTAGTGAGACGCATTTAATAAAAAAATGAAAAAAATATTTCATGAAATATAAATTGACAAAAATACCCCCATAAATTTTTAGGGGTATTTTGGTCAATTTATATTTTGTGAATTTTTTTTATATATTTTTATTATATTTTCCTATTTTTGATGAAGACAAGCTCCAAATTTCATATTATTCCAATTTGTAGAAAAAAAAAATGAAAATGAAACACTATCGGATAACTGTGACCGTGTGATGAACTTTGAACGGTGATGAGCATAGGCGAAATCACGATTCATTTTCGCCTATAGACGTTACATAGTGTTTTCCAAAAAATAAAATAAAAAGGTAGTTAGACACTCATCAATATGTGAGAGTTTGAGAAAATTATGATAGAGCATGTGATATAGAGAGAAAAACAGGAATTTTAACAAATTTCATTTCTTTAGGTGATTTTAGAGTTCAAGGCTTGAGTGCTTAGATAAGGCACTCTTTTTGGTTTGGGAATTTAGGGGATCATTTCAAAGGATTAGAAAGGAGTAAAAAGTGGAGGCCATTTACTTGATCAAAAGTGACTGACTCCCTTAATCTCCTGTGTGTGCGAGACAGAGTGAGAGTAATAGCGGGTCATAACCTCCATTTAGAATACAATTTTAGAGAGGGGTGAGGTTTGTACAAGGTGTCTACACTATTGAACTAAGGTGCGCCTCAAAACTATGTCAAAAATGTATTTTCGGTGCCGCAAAGCTTTGCGATGATACGAGAATCTATTGTTTCTCCCAATTATAAAATTTAAAGTTTCAAAAATGGTGGCGATCAAGCAATTCTACAAACACTTGAAAACCTTGAAAATGGATTGTCCAGAGTATTAGAAGATGAACTATTTTTAGGACTAAAGATCCCCTTTTTGTTATGTCTACAAATCACAAGGTCGAGATGATTGATTTATGGGTTTTCCAGCATAGGAATAACCTTCATTAATAGGCTTCTTAGGTGTACCTTAACACTCCAGGATATAAGACCTTATATAAACTTTTTCCTTTAGAGACCGGGAGTTTTTTTTTTTTTTTGGTAAAGAAGTCTTCGTCCTCGTAAAGCAAAATGGTTTGATAGGGTTGAAGCCCCATCGAAATAAGTAAAGCCTCGAGCGAGAGTATTTTTGTAAAGGAGTCCTCATTCTTGTAAAGGAAAATGGTTTGATAGGGCTGCAGCCCTCTCAAAATAAGTAAAGCCTCACCTTATAACTCATAGGACAGTGTAATTCAAGCGTTGGACGGCCTTTACATCGATCATTTCAACTTGAACATTATTGTTGTTGAACACGGGTTGCACAGTGTTCTTCACAGGATTCTTCGAAATTTGTCATTGTTTGATCATTTTTCTTATTTTTTTTGGCATGTGATCTAATTTGCAGGCTGTAAACAGCTTTATTCAGCTTTTACAAGGACTAAATGGTTGAAAAATTTGGTATTTTTGGATCACGAAACTTGCTTTTTTAGGGTTTCCGCCTTTTCTGAAAGTTTCATGCCAAATAGGGCATGAATCTTTCAAAATTTGTAGGCATTTTGATCGTAAAGCTGTGAATCAAAACCTTTTGTTACTAATTTGTGATAATCGTTGAGAAAAACAAAGTTTTTTTGGAGATTGAAGGCTTCGGTTCACAAAATCAGGTAAGAAGTTTGGGTTTTGTTTTTTTTCCACCATATGATTTATTTCACGACATATTTTGAACATAATGAGTTCAATAATTAGGGTTTTTAATCTTTATTGTGTCTAGTATGATTTAAAAATTTCAATTTTACGTAATTTGATCAATTACAGCATGAAATTTGAGATGAACACGGAGATGTCTGTGGAACCAAAATTCCGCTGTTTTTTTTTTTTTTTTCCGCCTTTTGATTTTGTTTTCATGATATATTAGAAATAATGTGTTAAAAATTTAGGGTTTTGATTCCTTATATTGTTGTTTATCAAAAAATGTACTCAATTGGTGTAATTTATTCACTTAGAGGTGGATTTTTGAGTTAAAATGGCTTATGTAAAATGACTTTGTGAAGAACTTAATTTTTTTTTTTTTTTTTTTTTTTTT